GGGACCACTTTCTTTGCTATTACTGAGTTAAACGTCATGCGCAGTATCTACTCAAAAGTCTTAAAGAATCTCCTGACATGACCGTCCCTGACATCCTCAACAAAACCTACCATGAAATGGATGCGGCCTTGTCGCGGATGTGTGAGGAATCCGACGGCAAGATTCATTCGGGTTGCACCGCTGTTACCGCTTTTCTCCGGATAGAAGATGCAGAGGGAAAGCAAAGTTTTCTCGACAACCTTTCGTCGCCTGTCACCGCTGAATCTCCGAAGTCTGAACAAGCGACGAATTCAAACCAAGACGAGCCTAATAGCCCGCATGAAAGCAGTGCCGAAAGCGGCGATGATCTAGGAAAGGACCACAAAGGTAGCAAGAGCAAGAAGTCGACGTCCAATCGCATCAAGAAAGCATTGCGCAGTCTGGGGAGTGGCACACTCTCGGGATCGTTGTCTCCCAAGACACCGAAATCTGGTTCCCCTACGATTTCTCGCAGGCCTTCCGCAGAAAATATACATATTCGCGTGCCACCGGAGGGAGCGCGGCGTGTGTTGTATTGTGCTAATGTAGGAGATGCAAGGGGTGTACTGTGTCGGAAGGGTAAAGCCGTCCGCCTAACCTATGACCATAAAGGTTCCGACAAGCAGGAAGCCAAACGCATCACAGACGCCGGCGGATTTGTGATGAGTGGCAGGGTGAATGGTGTTCTGGCCGTGACTCGAAGCTTGGGTGACTCCTCTATGAAGGAATTCGTCGTCGGTGCCCCGTATACAACGGAGACGGAGCTATGCGACGACGACGAGTGCCTGATTTTGGCTTGTGACGGAGTGGGTTCATTTTGCCTTCTTCGTTTACATAACTCTCACATCTGGTTCCGGTTTTCTAGCTCTGGGACGTCATTTCAGATCAGGCGGCTGTTGACCTCATACGTGATACTCCCGACCCACAGTTGGCGAGTACTAGGCTCATGAAGTATGCTCTTTCCCACCATACAACGGACAATGTGACGGTCGAAGTGATACGGTTCAAGAAGCAAAAGCCATAATCAAACCATGTCCAATAATTAGAACGTATTTTTTTCTCTTTTTCTCCCTTGGTATGTTAGGACCTTTGGGCTCGTTCAATGTAGTAATTTTTCACTGGTCGTTTTTTTGCATTCGGTAGCTCTGTAACCCAATATCGTCTGGCGCACACCATGTATCTTATTAGTACTTACACGCTTACAGAGACAAGCATTTTAAAATGACACTATCCGGAATCCGATGGTCTGATATGGATTTATTACGAAGGTAGGTTTCTCCTATTCGCTCTTTATTCGTTGCCCGAGTGTTTGGCCGAACTAGATGCACATACTTGACGTCTCTGGTGCGCCTTCTCTCCGTTGATTCTAGCTTGAGACCTTTACCGTGTATGAGTGAGTACCTATCCTGCTCCTATCCAGAATACTGGACTGAACTTTAGTCCAAGGCTGGATAGAAATTATTGATAAAGTGGACATGTCCCCTAGATCTGAATATTTTCGAATTTCGAAGCTGGGATACTTTGAACATTTTTGCTCGCCTTTTTCAAGATTAGTTCAGACAAGAACCCGCATCTGGATGTAAAAATGTCGGAGCCTTGACTCCTTGATATCAGTTTATAAAAATAGCAGGTGGGTTAGTTGGGCTTGAATTTGCAGAAGATGGTTTCTCTACATGCCACAGAATTATTAGTGAAAGAGCTTCGAGTCACAATGCTAGGAAGGATTGAATACAGCCAGCAGTCTCATGCCAAGAAACCTACCACCTTCTTTCTTTTGAGTCTCAACCGACCGATTGGTACACTTTGGTACTTGGCTCTGGTCACTCTGACTCACTCTGCAGACGGCTATCTTGCTTCGAAACTCGAGCAAATCATTGCTTGAGTATGCGCTGAGGGATAATGGGAGAAAACTTTGGATACCTGAGCTCAGCGCCACAAGCCATTGATATGGCCAGCCAAATTAAGTCGATCGTTCTCGCCCTCTAAGAAGACTTGAGAGAAGTCACCAGCCACTGGTTATTGGCCAAGCCCGCTGCAAATGAAGCGCTTTTAGCGACAAGAATTGTTGAAATTGCGGCACCCCAGGCCTGATTTCTTCGACTTCAACTCGAGCAGCTATAAATAATTTTGGGAGTCTATAAATAACAGATCTGTACGGCTTCGAAGCACAGACACGAACCGTTGATCGTACACAGCGCAGCGCTGCAGAGATGTTGGAAGCTGGAATTCGGGAATGTCAACGTCTTGGAAATAAATAACCAATGACATCTGTTGTAACACCGCATTCAGCCTTTAGGAGGTTCCATGTGCGTGACACGCGCCGTTTGAACATTCTTGAACGAGAGCTCGGTTTTTTAAACCCTCCCTCTTTCTTTCGGACCTCCTGCCCAGCTCTGTTGGCTCCTCCAGCGTATGTCCAACTACGACTATAATCATGTGCAGGGGGGTGGAGCCGCCTATCCCCCGTATCCCGGACCGACGCCTGCTTACGGCCAATCCTACCAACCCCCTGCGGCGGAATATGGTGGTGATGTCAAGAACCCATACCAAGGAGATAGGTTCAAGCCTAAGAAGAGAATAAATGACCCTATATTCCTGATTCTCTTTATCTTGCAGGTGTGTAGCTAGTTGAGCGAGTAATATGTCCATGCAAATGCAAATCATACCCCCATTTGTTCAACAGTTTTTGGGTTTTGCAGCTTTGTCCGGTATAGCAATATCCGATTGGGTTTCTAATGGTGGTCTCGGAGGGGGTCTTGGGACGTCTGGTGGTCGAAATGGTACCGCGGTCACACTGAACCGGTATGTGCTAAATACGTCTGGAACGTAAACTTTGCAAGCTAAATGCAGTTGAATTATGAAGGAGTACTGTTTATCTCTTACTTTTGGTCACGGCGGCTGCTCTGTTGTTCTCTTCAGTCTACCTCATGCTCACCAGAGCGTTCACAAAAGCAATTATGCATGTTACCCTTATATTGTCTATCCTTCTAAACATGTACGTCTCCCGCCTTACCTTTTTTGTTTCCTTTCCATACTGAAATTACGGCTGCAAGTGGTATAGCAGTATACTACTGGATCACGCGATACTACTGTTCGTCGACCATGTCTTCCTCTATCTTAACTTCTCTCACCCTCGTACCTTTAGCTGGCGCAATCATTTTCACCGTAATTGCGCTTTTCTCTGTTCTTTCCTATTGGGGTTACCGGTCTCGCATTCCCCTGGCATCTCTACTTCTACAAGTTGTCATGGACGTGTCCAAGCACCATATCAGTGTCTATGTTGTTGCATTCACTGCCCTCTTCCTCCAGGCCGCTATGTCTGTGTAAGTGAACTGATGATCTAGACGTATACATCTGATGTTGATGATCCTGTTCTAGATGGTATGTTTTTACCAGCATTGCAATGTAAGTTGAGATTTCGTCTTGCATATGCCGAGTCCGTGTTCACACATCCATAAGCTATGCCAAGTGGACGCCGGGAAGTCCTTGTACGTGTCTTCATCTTTATTCCAAGATGATGGTTCTTAGCCTTGGTCCGTCTTAGCCTGCAATGGTTCATCTTGCTCTTCGGGAAAAGTCGCCGGCCTTATTTTCTACGCCACTTTTTCCTACCTTTGGACTTCACAAGTCATCGGTAACGTCGCTCTTGCCACTCTGGCGGGAGGACCTTATGGATGCTGGTACTACTTTGGACCACGTAGCGACGGACAGATGGTTCGTATCTATGAACAGTCTGCTTGTTTCTTAAAAGTCCCCTAATTTCTTCTTTTAGCCAAAACATCCTACTCTGTCTGCCTTCGCCCGTGCATCGACATTCTCGTTGGGTTCTATTGCGTTTGGATCTCTGATCGTCACACTACTGGAACTCTTGAAAGCACTCTTGCAGGCAGCTCAAAACAATGCAAACGCCGAAGGCCACCGTGAGCTTTGTTCGATCTTTGCATGTGCGCAGAATTTTCTGACTTTTGTGATGAATGTAGCTGTTGAGGCTTGCCTCGCGTGTTGCGCAGCATGCTTCATAGGATGTATAGAGGCTGCTGTGGAATATTTCAATCGGTATGTCAAATTCTGACAGCACTTTTTAAGTACATGTATGCTTACATTTTAGTGCAGTTATGCCTACATTGAAATTTGTGAGTATCCTTTCATCTCTGAACCTGGAACAACATTGAATATTGTGTCTTAAAGCCCTCTACGGCAAGTCCTATATCGAAGCTGCCAAAGATACTTGGAGGCTGTTCAAAGATCGCGGTATCGATGCCCTCATCAATGACTCCTTGGTGGGAATGAGTCAGTTGGTCTCTCCTTGTGGATTTTTTGTCCGAGCTGAAATCTTTTCTGTAGCATTGACTTGGGGAGCATATGCAGTCGGAATGCTGTCGTCTCTATTCGCATACTTGTATTTGCGACGTAAGCTCTTTTATCTGATTCGAACGCTCGTCAGCTAATGACTGGTGTGCATAGTCACTGACCCGCCATACAATTCTGACGGGCAGTACACTGCGCCGGTGATATTGTTCGCGTTCTTGATCGGACTCACATGTTCTTTGACGCTATCCTCCGCAATCGAGGCTGGTGTGTCTACGATGTGAGTATTGGATTGAAGTATCATCTCGTTTGTCCGCAAGCTAATATTTGGTGATAGATTTGTTGGTCTTGGAGAAGATCCACAGGTCCTAGCGATGCGTTCTCCTGACTTGTTTGCAGTGAGTTTTTCTTATTCGTGGTTAATACAACGCTTGAAACTATCGACTAATTCTTTTTGTAGCTCATTGCTCAAACTTACCCGGATGTGGTTAGAGGCGTGGTATGATCGTAAATGAAGTTGCAGATAGTTCACGATCACGTCTGTAGTCTGTTGATGATATCTTTTTTCTGCTACCAGTACATGAACATTATCTACTCGGTTTGTCATCTATACATATCTTACAATAATTCTGCATTCGGCACTTGATAATGCCCGTTTGATTCTACTTAGCACGGTCCCTGTCGATTAGTGGTTAAATCATCACGTTGTGGATCAATTGTACTGCAAGACCGTGAAGCCGGGAGCTCGAATCTCCCCAGGGACACCACGTAATTAAACTTCTGAAGCTGGTTATTTTTACAACTTCCACATAGTCTATTACATGGTAGAGATGACCAAGGTAATTAGTGGGTACTGCTGCGAAGCTTTCGGTAGGGCATATATTATAGTACTAGTGGTTGAGAAACATTGATAGGTGACTTGAACTAGAGGTATGGCTTAGCCAAACCTTCATGTAACTGTGTAAGTAATTTACAAAATTATACATTTGAGCGAATTCTATGTCATAGTCATAGCTCGGACCGATAACATTCTTTCTCTTTTGTGTTCTTGACGCTTCTCGATAATTATCATCAGTTCCTCGCACGTACACAGGTCATGAAAAACCGTCCTAGTGCGTTCATACCTCCATTTCGGATTCATCTAAGGGCGGAGAGAACGGAACGTGAGTGGACTTTGATAGATTTATTGTCTTTTTGAACCTAGGCATGGGAGGATGCATATGATGGACCGTGAACGCAATTGTCTCTTGTCAAGAGAACAATAGGCAAGCGAGCGGAAGACAAACTTTGTACACCGGAAAAAGACAATAAGATTTTGCTCGTCGATCACGTGACATTTATTTTTCCGTCTTTGGACACGAGCTGGACAATAGCGACGCGGTCGAGCACAGGTCTTTTGTTGGTTTTGGCTTATAATGAAGGGCCCGAACTGGTCAGAAAGCATCCCAAGTGGACTGGAATCGACTGAATCGAGCTAGTCTCATTCACCGCTGGTCTCTTTACTCCTTTTCAACGACACCCCGACGTGACACAAGTTTCCCCAACTTGACGGTATGTGTGCTTCTCACTTTGACAATAAGTCGTCGGCTAAATCCGGTCTACAGAGAGTTTATAATGAACCAAATGGCCAACGAATCTGTATCTGCGCTACCTACTTTGGCTCGTCGCAGCTCTTTTATCCTTAACTGGGCTATCGCTGTGCAACCAGGCTCTCCTGCACCCTTGTCGCCTCGTCCATCCCCGACTTACGAGTCCCGCCGTCCATCTCTATCTCGTTCTGCGTCCCGTCGTAGACCTAGTCTTGTCCGTTCAACTAGAGCCTGTTCCAACCCTTCTACTAGCCCTAAAACTCCGAAGGAGTTCAACGTTGACCTAACTTCGTACGGATACACGTCCGTTTTCGTTCACCTGCCCTACACACCCACCACCCCTTCCCCCTTCCTTCGTCAGGTTAACGCGAACGCGTCTACCAACGTACCTGTCCCACCTGTTCCCCAAACCCCTCCCCCAGCAGCCACCGAAACGAAGGTCATCAAGCGTTTCCGATCTCTAGCCAACCTCAAACCGCGCCGTGCTCGAGCTAAATCCAACGCCGCATCTAACCCTCCACCTTCACCTTCTAACACCATGCCTTCCAAAACCAAAACCTCCAGCTCCAAACCCAAAAAAACCGCAGCTCCTCCTCTTCCTCCTTCCCTTGCATCTGAGCTCTTATTGATGCAGTTCACTGGTGGCGGATCTCTGGAAACACACGCCAAGCGTGTCATGGAACAGCAAGCTCGTGCTGCCGCTCCTACCGGTAGCGCTGCTGCTTCGAAGAAGAAAAAAGTCAGGCCAGAGGAACTCGCAGTTGGTGCTGTGTATCGCGACGAGAATGGCAACATGTGGTGGGACGAAGCTGAAGCTATGGAATACAAAGCCCTCATCCCTGAACAACCGGGTTCTCCTCAGAGCCATAGATGGGTCAAATTCGATGGCAACAAGGCGCCTAGACAAGAAGCACCCCCTCGACGAGGCTCTCTCGCATCCATGTTTACTTCCAACTCTTCTGCCGCCTCTCCTACCTCTCCGAGATCCTTCTCCGATGCAGGATTTTCGAACGTTGTCGTCCCCGCCAATGTTGATGCCTATGGTGGCGTAGCGATGCACCTTTTACACTCGACGCCTACCGCTTCTGCTCATGATATGGCTGCTCATCAGAATAAACGCACACGCCGTCGACCTGCACCTCTTCAATTGCACTCGGCTGACGCTGTTCCTCAGGCACCCGTGAACGTGTTCGAGGACTCGTTCGCTCCAGCGGTGGCTTCCCCCAACAACAGACGTAGGCCGAGCGCCGGTGTTGTCGTTCCCATGGGCTCTGCTCCTCCTGTTTGCCCTTCTTTCGGAGACAGGTATGTTCAGCCTGGTTTCACTGGCAAGGAGAACGGCCACCGTATACCGGAACCGATGATGGCTGTCCCGACGATCAAGAAGAAGTCATCACGGACTGGTTTTCGTGGACGTGCAAGAGCACTCTTTGGTGGACATTAACTCTGTCCTTTTTTTTGTCATTGGAATGTGAACACTTGGATGGATGTTACAAGATACGAATAAGAACAGTTTCACGATCGAGATGCACTTCCTTCTTTCCCCCTTCTCTTCATTCAATGATACCTGACGTTGTTTCCTTGCTTCTTTCTCAATGCTAAAAAGTCCCTAGTGGATTTTTTGTACTACCTAACTTTCTTTGTAGCAACTCCTATATTGTATCTATATTACGGTTCTGGCTTGGGCTTCATACCGTTTCCTTTGGATTTGTGTTGATGACATTTGTTACCATTGCTATCGTATTTTTATATCCTTTATTTTTGTACTGTTAGTTAGGGTTTACATGAACATAGATGTGCGTGGTTTTCCCTGGAAATTTTGTGCAGTGAAAATATGAGGTGTATGGCGTACTTACGCACCTTTGGAAACTATTTCGCTTAGGAGTGGCGGCTCTCCGCGGAAGTTCTGGGGCAAGATAACAATCTCGACCATCGGTTAATTTACCCATGAAAGAGACCCATGGTCATGCGATGCTGGGTCCAAACTCTGGTAAGTCTCAAGAAGTACTTAAAGAGACATTCGTACCATTAAGCTCGAGCTAGACCATCTGACTAAAATTGAACCAGAACCGAGCCGCTCCACCAGTACGCATCCTATATTTCTCGCGCATACGAAGTAGAAGCTCGCAGATCAACGTTGCCAGTCCGAACTCCAAAATGTCGTCTCTCACTAACCAAAGACCTAATCCTGCCACCCCCGAACTGTTGACACGGCTTAAATCACTTTGGCCGACCGGGTCTCCCTCGGACCTGTCAGGATCTGGTTCTATAGGTGAGACACTCTTCTGTTCGTCACAATCTGGCTGGCCGCTGGTACTAACCTAAGGCTCTAATCGCGCGACACTTTGGTCACTTTACAACTTTTTTCCTCTTTGTTTTTCCTTTCCTATCTATCTATCTGTCCAGATTCAAACAGACAAAAACTCTCGAACCCCTGGTACATCGTTGCGGCTATTTCATTCAGTGCGGGGAACGAACCTTCCGCTGTTCCGACAGTTTTCAAACGCGCTTTAGAGGATCTAGAAGCGGAATCTTCTGTCAAATCCGTCCCGACGCCGGATTTGCATCAGGAAAAGTTGATGTTAGCGAGGAAATTGAGAGAGGCGTTGTTCAAGTCCGGATTGACGAGTGGGTATTCGAAGGTGAGTAAGTGCTTGGGTTTGTACCTGTGCCTATATTCATGGATTTGACCTTTATGGTGTATAACGAAATTGAACTGGATGCATGGAATGGTTGTGGTGATTGATGTTGTCATGTTTCTCCGATAGGCCATTAACAGCTTAGTTGCGTTGAATGAGGTGATGCCCGAGGAGCTGAAGGATAAAAAACTATTACGGTGAGCCTGACTTGTTTCAATTTGAATTTCTCCTTTTTCCTCCCTCTCTCCCTACTCCCTTGCTCCCCGAAAGTCCGTCACAGGTTCAAGGCAATCGGACTGATTGAATGAATGATTCCATACAGAGATACGACCAAGCCTCTTGAAGAGTACGCGGAAGAAGGCAAAGTATTTTTTGAGAGAGTCTATGGGGAAACCGCAATATCTATTCAGAATTTGTTAGACTCGGCGTATCCTGATATGGGTAAGCTTGTTTTATCTTTCCCGCCCCAGTCATGCTGAAAGGTCGAGACTGACACCTTAATCTCACCGCCTCCCTTCCCCTGACAACAAGGTTGGTTTTCAAATACGATTGCGTACGGTCTGACTTATAGGCACACGGAAATATTATCGGAATTGGAGACTTGCTACACGTTGGTAGCTTCATTGATCGCAACAGATACGCCGAGGCAGATTGGATGGCATATGGACAATGCAAGAAGGAGTGGAGCAACACTAGAGCAAGCTAGAGCTGTGAGGGAGATTGCGATGGAAGTGTGCATTGCAGCAGGAGTGAGATGGAAGGAGCTGGTTCCGGAAGTAAAATAGATATTGTAAGAATCCGGTACTCTACTTATAGGATTTCCATTAGTATTACCCTATATGAAAAGTTTCAAAGGACGAAGGCAATTGGCATGTCCCGGTGGGCAAAGAATGTTAAATGGAACAGTTTAAAAAAATGTCCCTGGGGAGATTCGAGCTCCCGGCTTCACGGACTTGCGGGCAACGCCACAACGTGATGATTTAACCACTAATCGACAGGGACCGAAAGACAACAACGAATTTGGAATCATGAAGGATCTCGGAACAGTCTGGACCTGCCCTTAACACGAGTCTTTCCGACTCACATGTTGCTGATTCGCTGTCATGATCACTTGTGAAACTTTTATTTTTGTCGTCACTGCTGTTCATTCATTATTCAAGCCCTCAATGCTATTGTTCCCATGACAAAACAAAACCTTCCTGGACAAGTTCTCGACTGTCTGTGCTAGCTATACCTGCTGCGCATTAACATATTGAACGCAGAAAGCGTCGGAAGCATCTTGATCATGCATGTGGCCAGTTGGCCTCCGCGGTGCCGGCGTCTCCAATTTATGGTCTTCTGCGATCCCCGGGTCTCCCGTGATGGAAAATGCAATTTTATGACATATCGCTCCTGGACTCGTTATCTGTATGGAGCACAAGTTTCACAGAATCCGAAAATCGGTGGTTTTTTCCCTGGGTCATGACGTCATGGAGGGAAAGACCTGGAAAGACGCAAGTTTTTTGGCAAAGAAACTGCTGTTGGCTTTCGGGGACAATTGGGGGCTGGATAATATGATGGGATGGACTGATCAGTACGCAGAGCAATGATTGGAGGGTGTGGTATCAAGGGAGTATTAAGCTTCCTTTTTTAGCGCAGCCTGAACGCGTGCCTGCCTCTTTTGATTCTTCGAATTTTCCTGTTGGTCCTGACGTCTTCGGGACGTTCATCCTCCTTTTCAAATTCCCACCCTCTTCTCCTCCTTCGCCATGACCATCCTTCGTTCCCAATCCACTTATAGTTTCGCCGTATGTCATCCTGGTCGATCCGTGGCTTGTGCTCATCGTTTCCTAGACCAACTCGGATTCTCCGTACCCCGACAGCATAAATCGAAGGAGTCGTGGCGAGTTTGCTTCAATATCTGAAAAAGTAACCTTTCTTCTTCATCAAGATCCACCAAAATATTGAGATGTTCTCGTCTAGTTCTCTTTGAACGCAGATCCGAGGCTATGGGGTCATGACCTCTCTCCCAACCTCATAGAGGCAGATGATGACCTTCACAGACCTGATCCAGAGTCGGAGGCCGGGAAAATCGAATTTGGTGGTCATGGTGTTTCAAAACGAGGACTCACGAACGTTGGCTGTCTCGCCTTGCTCTGTGTCGGGATACTGGCCCTATTGTGCGCTTCATACTTCTGTTTGCGTTTTTTCTGCGGTTCTGATGATCGCGTGTAAAGTCTCGGCTATCCCGTTGCAACGTTCGCCACTCGCTCACCGCTGTCGACCTTTGGTGGTTTCAACATTGGTGGGCTCAACGCAAGTGGGCAGGTGAGCGGCCGTGTCTTCATACAGCTTTGGTGCCACCCGCGTTAAGGACGCGTGGTTCTCATTTCAATGTAATTCAAGGTACCTGAAATACCTGGAAATTGGGGTCTCATCGACCTCGATACGCCGAAAGATGTCTATACAAAACCTGGCTGGAAAGATTCTTCCAAAACGATGCAGCTCATTTTCTCGGATGAGTTCAATAAGGACGGCCGATCGTTCTATCCAGGTGATGACCCGTATTGGGAAGCTGTTGATCTCCACTACTGGGTGCGTTCGATGAGACTAACTCCGCGTGTGACATGACCGAACAACAACTTTTCGGACAGCAAACGAACAACTTGGAGTGGTACGATCCCGCTGCAGTGACTACTGCCAGCGGAAATTTGGTCATCACTCTGTCGCAAAAAGAAACCCATGATCTGAATTATCAAGGGGGTGGGTGTGTTTTGATACACTTCCTGGTTCAAGTGAGGCTGACACGTACCTTCACTCATAAATAGGATTGATTTCAACATGGTGAGTTTCTATTAATAGTACGCAGACAACTCATTTCTTACACACTATTGTCAGGAATAAATTCTGTTTCACAGGTCGGTGATAGAATGCATGATTCATTCCGAGACCTGGCTGATTCTTGATATGATCTCCTACACTAGGTGGATTGATCGAAACTAGCGTCGTTATTCCAGGAGCGAATAATGTTCTGGGAGTGCGTACTCCGATCTTTTTCCGGAACGGAATGATTAAGAGATCTTATTCATTTTTTTTTTGCCTCCATTTCTCTCCAACAGTTATGGCCAGGTATGTGATACAGTAACTATAGTGAAGCCGAGTATCTCACGAAGTCCGACAGCTATTTGGGCAATGGGCAACCTGGGAAGAGCTGGATATGGAGCTTCGTTAGAAGGGACATGGCCTTATACTTACGGTAAATTTAATCAACCCTCGACTTCGTCCGATCACTGAACTTCTCGTCTCTTCCCGTGCGTTAGATGCATGTGATGTCGGCACTGTCAAGAACCAGACTGTCAATGGTCAACCCGCTGCGGCTACAGTAGATGGCGATGCGGGTAAGGGAGGTGTACTCAGTTATTTGCCTGGGCAGAAACTTTCACGTTGTACATGTCCGGGCGAAAGCCACCCTGGGCCAAAACACTCCGATGGGACATTTGTCGGTCGTTCTGCCCCCGAGATTGATGTATTTGAAGCACAGGTTAGTCTCTTGTCGTTTTGTGGCATTTTTATACTTACAGATGGAATGCACTTTTAGATAAATCAAGATACATTAATTCCAGGAGTATCTCAGTCGGCCCAATGGGCGGTAAGCCGCTATCTGCCAAATTGAGCCAACTTTATCTGATTTGAATCGCTCAGCCTTTCAATCGAGCTTATGTTTGGAATAACGACACGGATAATATGTTCATTCGAGATCCAAGTAACTCGATTCAAAATTCCTTTACCGGTAATGCAGACCAGCAGGCAACGTCTGTCGTCACAAACACCAACCCGCAATGCTACGAGGATTCTATCGATCCTTGTTATTCAGTGTACGGTTTCGAGGTATGTCATAGCCTCAGGATCTCCTTGCATTTAAAGAGTACTGACTCACTCTCACCAGTATAAACCAGGTAATTCAATAACTTGAGTTCTCCGTACGAGCCGTTAACATGTTGTACTTTTACGTCTCTAGGATTTGATGACGCGGTACGTCGTGGTTGTGATAGATGGTCGGTAGTCTAAAGATAGCTAACTTACATTCCTCCGCAGTACATCTTATGGATATCAGACAACGAAATATCTTGGTCACTGAATGTGGCTGGTCTGGATGCCGATCCACAGGTAGAAATTTCCGCTCGACCTGTGCCCCAAGAGCCTATGGTGAGAGACCCTCTTCTAACACTTGAAAAAGAAAAAAGAACTCCAACGACTGAATCGTCTCTTCACAGTACCTTCTCATGAACTTGGGAATGTCGAGAAACTTCGGCCCTGTAGACCTCGCTCATCTACAATTCCCAGTGCACATGTATGTCGACTGGATACGAGTCTATCAGGACAGTGACAATATCAACATCGGTTGTGATCCCAAAGATTTCCCGACTGCCGATTACATCAACACGTACGTTCTATTGTTCATACTTTGAAACTGTCAACCAACGCTTCGGACTGAACGTACTCTTTGTTTTTAGATATATTGAGGCATACACGAATCCAAACTTGACCACTTGGGTAGACGATTACGGGCAACCGTTCCCCAAGAACAGCTTCCTCGGAGAGTGCTAGCCGTCTGCGAGAGCCAATGCCAATGTAATGCGGCTTCTCTCATCTCTCTCTCACACACACGCAGGCTTCCGTCTGTCCTTTCAGACAGTATGTATAGATGGGTTCGAATGCTCGTTCAATGCTTAGGGCATCGATGGACTTGGACTAGGAGACAATTCCGTCACAGTACTCCTGGTTGGACAACGACTCTGCTTTCTTATGTTTGCTCACATCTGTTGCATTTTTTTTTTTATCACTTCCTTTGCGTTGTGCATATAGACCTTTTCTTCTCATCTCGCTCGATTTTTACGAAATCTATCTTCATTATTGCAGACTGCTATAATTGCATTCCTCTGATTTGATGATTTGACGAACTGTTCTCTTTTCTTGCACGTTTTGTCCTTAAAGTTATTATAACGTCCCCGTCACCTTTTTCACGTTTTTCTCACCCACGATCGCATTTTTTCTGCCATAACTATCAATCACTCTTATGATGCTGTCCTATCCATATTACTCTCTCCCTGTTCATTCTTCTGCCCCTTTGCTTGCAAGATATAGGTCTTGCCTGCTCTCCGATCTTCATTGCCCCAGTGCACATACCGCACTTTGCTGTTTTAAGACACCTCACAGTTCTGTTGTTTGTTGCTGCATACACACGTCACGCATACTTTTACCTGCTTCTTACCCATATACATACTCCCGGACTCCCCCCTTGCCCCTCCATTTCCAGAAGGCTCGAAGGGAGGAAAAGAACAGCAGATATTCGTGTATGCCTGCAGCAGCTAATATTGCGGTTGACCCACACCTACCAAACTGCTTCAAAGGCTACTTCCTCTGCTTTGTTCTTTGGATCCCTGGGAGTCCTGGAGACGAATAGGGAACCCTTTTAAACTATGTTGTACATATACCCCTTCTCTACCTACCTACCTCCATACATGTACTATATTTGTATTGCTAGAGTATTCATTCATAGATCATAGTTGAAAAAAATCATCGACATCAGCTTCTGATAATCCTTAAGCCCTTTTCGGGACCGCGACGACAGCCGCAGGCCACCAATATGCGATACGTATCGTCGACGGGTTCTTTTACCATAATATAATCAGGTACTGAAGAACTGACCCTTTGGGGCCGAAGAATTAGAAGTTGTATTACAAAGTCCATTAAGACGACCTACATCGACAGTAAACTGAACAGATTATCCGATTTGCAAATTCCACCCCATCTAACAGTACATACATTATTCTACAACTCTTGTACTCTCAACAACCCATCCAATTCTTTCACTCTCTCCTCCCACTTTTCGGCTTCCTTGATCTTCTTCTCCAACAGCGCAATCTCCTTCAGCTCTGTTGCCGTTCCAGATCTCGACAACTGTCCGGAAAAAGGACCGTGGTGTCCAGAATCAGGAATATTGAATGGGTTCACGTCTTCCA